TAAATTGGTTAGATCATCTAATCGTTAAATCGATAAGTTCATTTACAGCCTGAAAAGTTGTCAAGTACATAAATTATGAAGATTGAAACCCTGATCGATAAATTGATATTACTAGTGGTAAGAAGTTTGAAGCTAAAATTTGTGTGAGGCAAACTGTTAACTAAATTAAGGTGAGAGGTATCTAAATTAAGGTGAGAGGAAATACATTATCTACAATAAAATCAAAATAATGACTATTAATCAACTATATGCCTACAGTACATGTTTTATAATTAGAAAAATCATCAACAAAACAAATCATCAATAACATGTCGTTTGTAAAGTTACAGATTAATAAACGCAGCACTCGGCGAGCAAGTCTAATTGTTGTGCCGAAAGTGAGTGGAAAGAGATATATGTATAACAAAGGAAGGAGTACAGCTTCATAAGTTGTTAATGTCATCTTTATAAATGTAAGTTCAGTTAATCAATTTAAATCTAAGCTAGCTGAATACATTTTAGATTTTTGTAAAAAAGTAAAGTAATTTTAAGTCAAATCAATGGCGACTATATTATGTACATTGTACGATATTGTTTTCAAGTAAGTGACTATTCCTTTGTCTTTTTGAGAAGTAATTCTTTTAACCCTGTTATAAGCACCTTACTACAAAATACGTAGTACAATATGATATAAAATGTGATTGACTATTAGTCACGTTTTGTTATAATATTTACAAAATGTATAACGCAAACAATTTCTAATATGAAATTGTCAGTTACTAAAGTCATCATAATTGGCTTTATTAACGAATCCGTGGCTAATGCTGGATTGGTGAAGTTTCCAGAGATACTATTAACTACGAGTAAGTTCAAATCTCGTGATGTACTACTGTGCACTAAACGAATTTCGATTCAATAATTGTGAAACAGATAAGTAGTTTCCGTTTCCGGCGATAGATGACTCTGTATTTAAAATACATCTGAAATTGATTTTATTGCTCTAATTTGGTAAAAATAAGAGCGGAAACGTGTTTTTCTTTGATAATGACATGCTACAATTGCCGTAAAATATAATAAATAAAGGTTAATGTTTTCTTTCTGAAATAGCTTTATTTATAGCATAATTATTGGACCAAGTCATGGAGGAATTCATTGTAAAAGTCGCTGTTTAGGCAACTCCTCGCTGAGGACACACTAGTCGCAGTCGGGGTATGTTGAAGCTGGATTTTGTTATCAATAACCCACAAAAAATTGGTGAGTCAACTTGAATTAAGTTTTAACGGCTTTAAACTCAATTTAGGGAGTAGAAATACCGATTTATGAAATATTGAACCAAAATCGCACTATCGACTTATTTAAACGACTTTAGCACACCGCCTAAAAGTGTGTTTAAAATCAAAGATCTGTTGACATAATATATAATTTTACTTTTAAATGGCATTCCATTTGGATTATTATAAGCTGAATAAAAAACGATTGCGGAATAAAATGCTATCCCTTAGTTCTACAAGTAACTTAACTATTTTCATACAGAAATAGCTATCTGCTTGATTGTAAATAACATTAGAGAATAAACGGCAATGACAAGTTCATTTGCTGACCTGTGAAAAGAAGGGATAAAGAGTTTGTCTCTTTATGTTTATTTATGTTACGCTTATATTGAAAAAGACTTTTACTATGTTCAGAGTAGTCATTAGCAATTAATTGTTACATATAGACATAGTTGAACATCTGATAAATTGAAAACTTATAGTGGCATTTAAATATTGTCCA